GCAGCCCCCTTGCATTCAAATTTGGAATATTATGGTAAAGAAAGATAAAGAAAGAAAAGCGGGGTCAAGGGGGCGGAACAAAACACATTTGGAAAAGTTTTTGACTTTGCATACTGAAAATTCAACAAGATCGGCGAAGCCGATGTACCCAAATGGTACAGCCTAGTTTAGAATGTGCACCCTGCCTACTTTTGCTCATGGAATGCGTTTGTATAACTTTCTCTGTTGTGTGAAGGAGGAAGTCGCCGGCGGGCGGCCTGCGCATTGGCAGGCACAACGGTGGGACACGTCCTCATCCTTCTGCTCAGCCGCTTTGCATTGGCTCTCATCGGGAGGGAATCTCGCCCGTGGGAGACAGTGGCGGGGCGGGGTGCCAGCGCGGATCTATACCAACTCTTGGATTGTCCGTACGAGTTGGGCCGGGCCACGCTGGAAGCGATCAGCCGCGAGAGAGTCCAGCCAGGCCGGTCGCCTGTACGCGCCTCGCGGGAGCATTGGCACCTTGACGTGTCGTAACTGTCTGCGCTGCGCCGGGCTGCGCCGGGCTGCATTGCGCCGCCGTGTGGAGGCGTACAGTCTGAGTAGGAAGGAGTAATGTAACGGTCGGTCAGGAACACGCCTGGTTGGCAAGCCTGATTGGCTGAAAGCCGGCGGGCGTGGCGCCGCGTGGCAAGCCGTCCAGACGCAGAGCTTTATGCCATACTTCACGACTCCCGCTGCCGCGTCCATGCTCTCTCTACCCTGTCGGGGTGGAGCGCGCGGGTTACACTCTTTGCCTCGCCGGAGCACGGCAGCAAAGTAATAATGTAATAATCCAGATGTTGTGTTCACCCTTTTGACTCGGGGTGTACGCTCGCTGCAGGGCCTGCTGCAGGGCGCGGCGCGAGGGCGTAACAGGCAGTCCCTTCCTGGAGGCTGCAGGAGGAGCGTGGCCGTCCTTGGCCCCGAGTACCTGGAGTGCACACACACACACACTCGTACGCACGCACACACGTCAGAGGCGGGCAGGTTTATCCGGCACGCTTTTGTGTTACTCGAGCAGTTTCGTAATAGTCAAGGGGCGGGACACAGAAAGGAACCGGGTTAAAACATGGAGCCAAGGCTTACGGTGTCGTCGGGTGCGTGGAGGAGCAGGGGGCGGCGCAGCTCCAGTTGTGGCGAGCTAGAACTAGTGCTAGGGCTGATTTGTCGTGCTCCTTCAACAACTGAAGAGTAGCTTTACCCGGTGGGTGGGTGGGTGGCCAGCACCTTTGGAACACATTTGTATGTTAGCCCGCACCCAGGAATGCCTATGAACCATTTAATCCAACGGAAACGGAAATTTCCGACAGTCAACTTTTGCTTGTCAAAGAATCACTGTATACGAAGTCAAAACACTATGCTAATAATTTTTGTCGATTTTCATTTTTAACTGTGTGGATTAAATTCGCTTGTTTTGCATTCACTGTAAATATTTTTCACAGTGCGATCGGGCTGGTAGTGCAACATGCCGCTGCCTTTGTGAACCCCTCCGCCGTGAATATAAGGTGTCACGTTACTCGTTTGACCCGCGTGACTTGACGTGACGTGGGGTGACGTGCCCCCGCGGGCTGCTCCGCCCCGCCGTGGCCTCCGCCCGTCACTTGACCGCCTCCGGGCCGGGGGCAGCCGGGGGCAGCCGGGGGCAGCCGGGGGTGGTGGGCGGCCTTGCAAGCCTCGCCTCGCCCTGGGCGAGAGCAAAGCGAGAGCGCTGCCGGCCAGGCCAGCCGGCCCGGCCCCGGCTGGAGCGCAGAATGATGCCCATGCTGCCCCGGGGCCAGCTCGGCTTAGAGCTCAGCTAGAGTAATGCGGGCGCCAAACAGGCACCCGCTCGAGCCTCAAGCAGAAGTGGACGGGAGGAGACTCTGCTGGGAAATCGAACGTGATGTCCCACACCTCGCCCCGCCACGCCCCGCCACGCCACGCCCCGATGTGTACTGGTGAAAGGCCTGCGCGCCGGATGGCAACGCAACGGGCTGGTCGGGCCGCGTGCCCTCCGTCGCGTAACAAATTCTAGTCGATCTGGACGGGTCCTTTCTATCTATCGCTGGGCTCGGGCCGGCCGCCGGCCGCCGCGCCCGTCTGGTGTCAGGCCCGCACCGCCCGGACATATTCACCGTCCCCCCGTGGGACTGGGCCGGGCGGCGGGGGCGTGGGCTGCGCTGACCGCCTGCGCGAAAACAAGGCGGCGCGCCCTCGCCGGCACAGCGCAAAAATCTTGCGGTGAAATTCGCCGCAAGTTATACAGTGAACCCCTGCAGCTCATTCATTTTCGGTTTACTTTCAGCTTTAAGCTACAACGAAAGTAACGACAGTGAAGCTAACGGTGAACCGTGAGGACGCACCACCGTTGCTTACAAGTGCTGCAGGGTTCACTGCAGCTTACGCGGTGACCTTCACTTGTAAGCTTTTTACAGTGCGCCTCCCTCTGGGTGTGAGGTGACGTCTGCCGCCCAGGCCCATCGCAGCCTCTGGCTGGACTGCATATGGGCATTCCCTGCGGCGAGCCCGCCAGCGCCAGCGCGCTTTGTGGCGATACTCTCTGGCTCGAGTAACGGTCATCAAGTAGTCAAGGCCGAACAAGCCACTACCCGGAGCCGCACACAGCTCCAACCGCTTCCGGACACCTTATTTGTTTCTATTTTTGTTTTGCGTGACACCCCGTTGGGTGGTGGTTTGCGTTTAGCCGCCATGTCTGACGTCTCGCAGCCGGCGGCGGTACTAACTGTACTAACGGGCCATCTGTTTGTTTGTTTGTTTGTTTCAGGAATCTTTGCCTACCTCAACTATCTGACTCCGAAGTCGCGGAGGGAGATCATCGAGCTGCTCATCAATGGGCTGCACCGACTAGAGTACCGCGGCTACGACTCTGCTGGTATGTGCTTACACCGTACTCGCGTTAAGGGCACGGGGTTCGGTGTGGTGACACGAGAACCTTTTGACTCTCTTTTCACTCGTTCATCACGTCTTTCCCTCCCGTTACAGCTTTCCATTAAGTTTGCACATTATGGGAATCTGATGAGCTTTTCTTGTTGTTTCGACAGGTATTGCCGTGGACGCACCCGACAGTAAGGACATTGCCATCGTTCGGAAGTCTGGCAAGGTCGCCGCACTAGAAGAAGAGATTCTGAACCGTGAGTCCTCGTTGTCTGCTTATTGACAATCATATACTTCAATTCTTCATGAAAACTTGACTTTCCCTTGCACTAGATGAGAAATCCTTGGGCTTTGAGGAAACAACCGATCTGCACGTGGGAATCGCTCACACTCGCTGGGCCACCCACGGTCAGCCCAGTGAATTGAACTCACATCCTCAGAGGTCTGATGATCAACAAAGTTTTGTTGTTGTTCACAATGGTAAGTTATCACTTGTCTTTCATTGCCTTGATAGCACAATCAAAACAAATCACTCAATACGACATTCAAACCATGCTCAAAAACACTGGAGTTCATGGTTGAAACTAATTACTGTTTCAACAACGTTCATTCATATGCTCTGTTGACTTTCCAGGAATTATCACTAACTTCAAGGATGTAAAAATGTTCTTGACCAAAAAAGGATACCACTTTGAGTCTGAAACCGACACTGAAGCTATTGTTAAGCTTGTTCATCACTTGCACTCTCAGCACCCTGAATACTCTTTCAGGGAACTTGTTGAACATGCCATTCAACAACTTGTAAGTAATGAAAACTGTCCCCACTTTGTCCCTCTCCTAGAATTCTTAACAGATATTTTCTAAATATTTTCCTTTAGGAAGGAGCTTTTGCATTATGCTTCAAAAGCAAGCATTTCCCAGGCGAGTGTGTGGCTGCAAGGAGGGGAAGTCCTCTGCTTGTAGGGATCAAGACAAAGACAAGACTGGCCACTGATCACATCCCAATCCTCTATGGCAAAGGTAAGAAAAAGTGTTCTGATATGCAAGTAATATGATAATTGATTTTCAATTTCCAGCAGGCAATAGTGCTTCCATGGTTACAGATAATGAAGATGAACATTGTTACCTTTTTTGTGTCAGTGTTAGAACTGATGAAATATGTTTCAGTTTGGTTTGGAATATTACTACATTGAGGAACTTTTCTTTTTAATTTATCAACCCATTGTGTTGGCTCTTCAGTTTACATTCTATTCTGTAGTTGTTTACTTTTTCTTCCTTTCTCCTCCCTGTGAAAAAAAGAGAGGAGCCGAACTTGGTAAAATGATTCAATTTACACATTTGAAACCAACTTTGATTTAATAAATCATAGTTTTTAGTTTACACTTCTTAGATTCTCAGATTTATTTAATCTCTATTCAAGTCTAGCTCCTGTCTTTGTTTCAAAGTTCTTTATCATGCTATCATGGTAGCTTATTTCTTCTGTCTTTTTTTGGATGGGCCATTTTATTTCCAATTTTCTTTAAAAAAAAAAAATATTGATTATATGTGTGTCAAATGCTTGTAGTATTACTAGGCAATCATTTCATCGGCTGTATGTTTCAAATATTCTTCCTTTTTTTAATTTGAAATGTTATACATTCCTTCCTATTCTTTTCCTTTTTATTTGTTTGGTTTAAATTTTGAATAGTCCCTGTATCCCTTCCAAATTTGTTGATTTGATCTAATATCCAGTATCTTTTGTCCCTCCCCTGTTCCCGTTCCTCCCTTTAGAGGCTGACATCAACAAAACAGGTACACAACATTATTTGTGCTTTACCTCTTTGTCTACATGCTTACTGCCGCTTATCTTCAATGTGAAGATTTTTCTCTCAATGTGCATCTTGTCCTCTTAATGTTATTCTTTCAGCTGTCGCATACTCAGTCTTTTGGTGGAGGGTATAAGATTTGTGTGGTGACAGTAAATTTATAAGGTGACGGAAAGCATTTTGTTGTGTAGATTTGTAAAGGGTATGGTAATGAGTTATCACATCACAATCATTCCACCATGTAAAAAGAAAGTGTGTTTTCCAGGAGTTTAAAATATTTATCATTGTACATATCTCCATAAATTATTTTGTCATACACAATTTTTTAAATTTATTTTATACTTTTATTTACCCCTTAGATCACCGCCCCCATGGTCGTGGTGATATGCCATCCCTTATTCCCCGTTCTGATTCCACTGCTGAATTCCAACCGATGGAGGACAAGGAAGTTGAATACTTCTTTGCATCAGATGCTAGTGCTGTCATTGAGCATACCAACCGAGTAATCTTTCTTGAGGTAAATTAACAACATTATTTTTTATTTATTTTTTCTCAAGTTATTTGCTTTGAAACTACAATATTTCTTAAAACATTCATGTTTAGGACGATGATGTGGCTGCTGTGAAGGATGGAGCTCTCAGTATCCACCGTCTTAGACGATCATTGGATGATCCTCATGGTAGAGAGATTATTACTCTGAAGATGGAGATCCAGCAAATTATGAAGGGTATGAATGAAACATTTCACTCATAAACTACATTTTAATGACAGAACAATCCTTTTCTTATCTTTCTTTTCTTTAAAGGAAACTACGAATATTTCATGCAGAAAGAAATTTTTGAACAGACTGAGTCAGTCGTAAACACAATGAGAGGAAGAGTCAACTTTGAAACCAATACCATTGTTTTGGGTGGCATAAAAGTAAGTTTTGTGCTGTAGTTAATCTTAACTGTCTCTCAAAGAATACTAGATTATGTTAAATTTACAATTTGGTCTCTCTATTGAAGCTACTGCTGACCTGCCCTTAAACATTTCTTGAATTTTATGGTAGGATTACATTCCTGAGATTCGCCGATGCCGCCGACTCATGCTCATCGGTTGTGGTACCAGTTACCACTCTGCTTTAGCTACACGTCAATTGTTGGAAGAACTGACCGAGCTGCCTGTGATGGTTGAGTTGGCCTCTGATTTTCTTGATCGAAGCACACCCATTTTCCGTGATGATGTTTGCTTTTTTATTTCTCAATCAGGTAGGCTGTGTTTCTCAGTATATTCTTGATTAACAAGCTGAATTGATTTTCTAAATCTGATTTTCTCTTTGTACTTTTTGTAAGGCGAAACTGCTGATTCACTCATGGCGCTTCGATACTGCAAGCAGAGAGGTGCACTCATTGTTGGAATCACAAATACTGTTGGTAGTTCTATCTGCAGAGAGTCTCATTGTGGTGTTCACATTAATGCTGGCCCTGAAATTGGTGTTGCTTCAACTAAAGCATACACATCTCAGTTTATCTCACTCGTCATGTTTGCTTTAGTCATGAGTGATGATCGTATCTCCCATCAGGCTAGGAGGCTTGAGGTGAGTAATCTTGAGAAGGAAGCATAACTAATTGATGGTATGAATACTTGCCCATACTGAAAAAACTTATTGCTAAATGTTTATCAGATTATTCAAGGACTGAAAAACTTGGACAACCAAATCAGAGAGGTTCTTGAATTAGATGGCAGAATTTTGGAACTTGCCAAAGACCTGTATGAGCAGAAGTCATTGCTTATCATGGGTCGTGGTTACAATTACTCAACTTGTCTGGAAGGTGCTCTGGTAAGATTGCATATGAAACCAATTTGGGGAGTGGATTGTTGACAAATCATTCATTCACCTAATTATTTTTGTTTGTTCCATATATATAGAAAGTGAAGGAACTTACTTACATGCACAGTGAGGGAATCATGGCTGGTGAGCTGAAACATGGTCCTCTGGCTCTTGTGGACAGAGCCATGCCACTCATGATGGTTGTCACAAGAGACCTAACGTACCAGGTAAGACTATAAATATACTTTTTGTACCTTGTTGTACATCACGTGCAAGATGTAAAATGAAAGCTTTAGTTTGTGTGAACTATATTGCTGATATTTTGCGTTTCCAGAAATGCATGAATGCACTCCAGCAAGTTACTGCCCGTGATGGACGACCAATAATTGTGTGTGAGAAAGGAGATAAAGAGACTGCCAGCTATGCTTACAAAACAATTGAAGTCCCAGCAACTGTCGACTGCCTACAGGTAAATGTTGCTTAAGATTTATTGATGTTCGCTTGTTGATCTTCTTTTAGTAACAACATGAATGTTTCATGCTTCCAGGGAATTTTAACTGTCATCCCAATGCAACTTTTGTCCTATCACATAGCTGTTCTGAAAGGATGCAACGTTGATTGTCCTCGAAACCTGGCAAAATCAGTAACAGTGGAGTAGGCCTGACTATCCAATGGTTTTTCTGAATACTTTTACATGTTTATGAGTTGTTGTTCAGGAATTTATTTTTTTTGTTGGTTTTTTTCTTGTTTTTGTTTGTTTTAAAAAAGACTTTTAATTCAAGAGTTGAATTCTTGAATTAAAGCATATTATGCTGTGATCAAAGTTGTACTTTCCTAAGTACAATGACAAATTTTATTATAAAATTGATGGAAACAACCCACACACTTGACACTGTTGTAGTGTTGTGAGGAACGATTGAGTTGTGATCCACATAACAAAAGTGGCACAGTTTTGATTCTATGAAAAGATTTTACCTAATTGGAACTTGAAAGCTACATTTATATTGTATTGTATTTGCTGTGAAGTATGCTGGAAAATGTTGGTATATGCTGTTAGTTTTTCAAAATGTGTCATAAATTTTAAAATTGTTATGCATTTATATTTTTTTTTTAATGTTTCTATCCACTATTGTGAATAGTTGGAGATCAGTTTGTCGGCACTTTTACTACTTCATGCAGATCAATTCTTTGGAGGCAAAAGGCAGCAAGAGAATTACTCTTCAGTCTCAGAACTCAGTATTTTACAAATTGGTAGACAATAACAATCTTAATTAAGGTACTTGTCTCAGAGTACTTACATAATTTGAAAAGAGGAGGTCTAGTTCAAAAAGTTGAGATTTCTAGCTTTTGTGGAGGCTTTGGGTTGAAATACCAAATCGTATATTTGTACCTTCATGCTCCTATTTAATTAAGTAAAGGCCTGTGCAGGTCTCTAATGGTCATTGCATACCCCTTTTATAAAAAATATATACTTTGTAACATCCTTATGAATAAGTGCCTATTAAAAATCTTCAAGTATGTTTTTATGGTGTAGGGACTACATAGAGCCTGTTACTACATAATTGGCACCAAATATCTTAAGTACAAGTACAGTACTGTTGTATTGTAAAACACGATTGGCAACAAAGTCAGTACAACACATTCCATTTTTTTCATTGTTTGTTCTGTATTGCAATAATAAATTGACAAAATAGGTAGAAAGTGAGAAGAGATTTCTACTGTACCAGTCCCAAATCTCATTTACATGTATTAAATCAATACTTTATTATGAATTTTCCCTTTAACTTCATAGGCGTTAAGTATCAATTTTTTTAATTTTTTTTTTTTTTGTGTGTGTGTTTCTGTGTCAATAGTCTAAAATATGGTGAAAAATGTTCACTCAGTCTATGTTTTGACTTTTGAGCACTGACAGTATGTATCGTTACCATGAATGATGTAAAAATAAAAACGAATTTATAAATTTTTTGAGTGTTAACATTTTATTTTGATTCCTTCCTACTGCTTGTGGCACCCTTATTCTCAATTCCATTCATTTTCATTTCCATTCAAACACGGCGCCTGAAATAACTAGCAGACGACAGAGCGGCTACAAGGTAACAGAGGCACCAACCTTACCGTCGCCGCCGAGCAAGTGATACTTCATTTACTTTTCATGTCTTGCTTGAAATTGTTGAACAAGAAATCAAGAAACCAAATTTAAGAAATTTTTAATTTTGTAAAACTGGCGACCGCCATTCTGTTATCATTTTACTAGCATGACGCACCCTTTTACTTCTTTTAGCGGTGTGTTGGTACTGCATGTCGTCTGCTATTGAGCACTACGTTGTCAAGCCACATCCAAAATTTCAGTGTTTGTGTTCTCATCATCGATGAGTGTCGTCTGAACACATGCGACAAACTTCGAATTTTTCGTCGAGATTATTCTTTGATCTGTATATTGACCGTAAGAGTCCGCTGGTTTTCGTCACAGACCTTGTGCGCTCGCAGTATATCGATCGTCTGCCACCCTCGGGCCCCTCAGCGTAGTGGTTTGGTTTTCAGTAGTGAGGAAATCTCACAGTTTTTCGGCATGGCTGCCCCCGCAGCTTGTACCCGTTTCAGTGATAACTATGACCTCAAAGAAGAGCTGGGAAAGTAAGTAAAGCATGCTGTATACACCTGTGTAATTTGAAGGGGGTTCGTTGTCTCTATGACCCAAAATTCAACTTGTGCCAAGTTCACGGTAGCGGGCGACATCTTCGCCCGCAGAGCTCCAGGCCCAGTACCGGGCTCCCGTTACCTAAGGGGGCATATTAACGTTAGTTACTTTTTCTATCTACAAATTTTCCCTCGGAGACAACGAATTGACATACATTCAGTGCATAATTTTGCACTCTTTGACAATTTTAGCATCCTGGTTGACAGAAGTTGTCTCAGTCAGATTCATTTTGTCTCCTAAATGGTTTAAGTTGGATGTAACCATATTTCAACAACATAATTTTTACCTCCATTTGTATATTTGTATGGTTTTAATTTTGGATTTGGCTCCAACTCTCTGTTATTGAATGTTTATAACCTTGTCATGTGAGCTGCTTGGCACATATCCAAGAATACCATCGCCATTCTCAAATTTGATGCAAATAATGGTAAAGGTGTTTGCATTGAGTTGTTTCAAAAAATATCAAAACTTTAAAAGTATTGTTAATTTCTTGAAATCCTGAAACTGTTAGTTGTAATTGTACGTTGTGTGAACTCTTGCCATTATGTTTGTGATGCTTCGAGTATTTTTATGTGACACTGTCAGGACTAACTATGTTAAAAGCTACTACCGATCATTATTCGAATTTGGTTTAGTAGGTATATGTAGCACCAAAATAGTTATGCTTTTGTTCTGTCAGATGTCAATGAAATATTTCAACCAGGCCATAACAGGATTTCTCTTTCAGCACAAGTGTTGAATTATCGTATACATATCTTCTTTATGTTATACTTTGGTAATCTTCTTGGCACACCTTTGTATTTTGGCGTCAGCTCTAGGCTACTTGGGACATGAAGACGATAGGATTTGCAAACATTCAGCATTGCAGTTTTGATCAACAATAGTCGTATTCTTTCAGTTCCCTGTGGTTATTGGTTGCATTTTTTCCAATAATGCTGTTGCCTATCATATACAAATTTTGAAATTTTGGTAACCCACTTAGAGTGAGAGAAAATTCCCAATCCAAACTTTTTCGATTATGAGAGTAGAAGTATTTTTCATTTCACATTAGCCGTGATATTTTAAAATCAGTAGAGAATCATTGTCTGAACACAAACAAACATATATTTTTTTAAACTGGTAAAATAATGAAGTTGCTGGGGTTTGCGGGTTTGCTCTGTCGGTTTGCTCCTCTGTTGCGCTATTTTTATTTCCACTTTTCCTTTCAAAACCGTTCGCTTATATGCTGGTCGTTGGCCTCGCGCGGTGCGTCGCGCGTTTAGTGCTGTGCTGTGGGCGCTGCCCGGCGCTGCCCCCACCACCCTCGCTGTCCCCGCCGCTGGGCCCCCTTTTCACTCAGAGACTGTGGGGATAATAAAGTGCGACTTGTCTTAGCCGACCGGGTGAAGGTGGCGGGGAG